GTGTGTGTGTGTGTGTGTGTGTGTGTGTGTGTGTGTGTGTGTGTGTGTGTGTGTGTGTGTGTGTGACATGGTGCATGCGCCTTTCTGTCTGTCCTCGTGTCATCCTGCATCTTTCAACTGCCATGATCGTGTTTAATGTGTCAACTGCTCCACAGCGCTCAACCCGTCATCCACATTCTCTTCTGCATCCACCTCCACCTCCCACCGCCTCCACGTTGCAATGTTTGCACTGCGCAGAACAACGGCACGACCTGTTTATCACCAGCACCCCAACAGCCGGCTATCTCACGGGGCCAACAGCTTCCGTTGCAGGTTACCTCACGGTGAGCGCACGCATGATTATGTCGATTGGTTTTGCTCATCCTCAAGCAGGATACACACACGCACACACACACACACACTGACACACACACACTCACTCACACTCACACTCAATCGATCAATCAATCAAACTCAATCAATCACTCATTCACTCACTCACACTTACACACGCGCACATTCACTCACGCACTCACTCACTCACGCACTCTTTCACACAACACTCGCACAACGCGCACATACTTCCACTCACTCACTCACTCGTTCACACCACTCACGCAGGCTGGACCCCAGACATCTGTTGCGATGGACACGGCGCCGCCAGAGGTGATGGAGGAAGAGGACAGGAGCCACCGCGCGGCACCAGGCAACCCAGACGCCTAGCACACACACACACACACACACACACACACACACACACACACCTCTGCACACTTACAGCAAACAACATGCCAGCTTGCCAGCTTGCCACTGTCTTCCCAAAGCTTCATTTTGTTCAATCTTTGCCGTTGTGTTTCCACTCCGTCACTTTCTGTCCTTGTTTCGTTCGTTCGTTTCTTTTTCAGTAGACTGCTCACCGTGGTGATTGGCCGTTCCCGTGTACTGCTTGCTCTGTCCGCACCACAATCACCATACCGTCATCGACGTGGGGGTGAAGGGGCCAAGGAACACAACAGCGCCGCATTGAGTACAAACAACAAACACATGCACCAGGCCTCACAACACAAATCGACATGCGTTGAGTGTACAAGTTTCAAGTGTTGAAGGGATGGCCGAGGGCGAGCCAAGGGCAGAGGTGGAAGAGAGGAGGAGATGGAAAGAGAAAGCAATAGTGGCAACCACGAGAGGGGGGCGAGCAACAAGGAGACTTGTGCGTCAGTTCGGTCGTGGTTGTCCATGGTGTGTGCACATGTGCATTTCCAGTGGCGCTGCTTAGGCCAGGATGGCGGCAACAGCAGCGGCGGCGACCGCAGCGACGACACCAGACACGGTGGTGGCTGCAGTGTTTGGGCAAGGAGACAATTGGGGAGGATGACGTTGTGAGGGGAATGTTGCGCCGGCAAGCACCAGTACACGCACGCAAGACAAGACACAGTCGTTCATGCACGCAATTGCACACGCCATCACATTCAACGACGACGACAAATACAAACAACAACAACAACAACATGCAAAATAAGATGAGCACACAGTCACACCATACCGGAGCTGGAGGCGAGGGAGGACGGGGCCTCGGTGCCAGCAGCGGCCTCCGTGATGCCAGTGACACCAGCGGCAGTGCAGACGCTCTCCAGGGCGGAGAGAACCATGTCGGGGTCAATGGGCTCATCATCATCGCTCAGGCCCGTGGGATCAGCCTGGTTATTCATGCGCACGCGCCAAACAAGGGTAGGGTGTGATGAGCGGTGGCGGTTGAGTTCAACAATGTCGAATGCGTGCGGGTGCAAGTGTCAGTTCGCACAAGCATGATGTCTGCAAATTGAAACAACAAATTGAAACGCTCGTGAAGAGATCGACAATTGTCCCATTACACAAACCACTGCGCCACAAGCACACACGCACCTCGAGGAAGGCGCGGTAGCTGCCGAGGCACTTGCCGGCGCCAACAATCGTCTGGCACTGTGCTGCACCAAAGTTGGTAGGGTCGGTCATGAGCAAGTCAAACACGGGCATGAGGCTGCCGCAGAACACGCCGTTGCCCTGGGTGCAGGCGAGGCCAACAGCGCCCATGTAGTCCTTCAGCATCATGATTCCAAAGAAGCCTTCGATGATGCCGGTGGGGTCGTTGGCGATGGCACTCTCCGGGACGGTGCCGCAACCGGTGGAGTTGAGGATGTCGACGGCCCTGAACATCTCGCCAATGCACTTGTTGCTGCAGATGTTACTGAGCTTGGTGGGGTTCATGATCGCGTCCTCGTCGTTCTCGAGCGCATCAAGGGCCGCGTTGTCCTCCACCACGCACTTGACGAAGCTGCTCGTCAGGGCCCTATCGAGGGGCGCGGCGCACTCCTGGCCAAGCACAGCCGTGAGCGTGCTCTTAATGAGGCTTGTGGGTGGGACGGCAGAGTCATCATTATCACCGCCAACGGAAGTGGAGCTGCAAGTGTACGAGAAGCCATCAGCGGCTCCGCAGGAGCAGCCCTGCACGCCCAGGACTTCGGTAAATGAGCAGAAGCAGTTGCTATGGCTACCGCACTGGGCGTCGCAGGATGCCTCGTCGGTCACACCATCGTCGCCGCAGTTGGCAAAGTCGGAGCCGCCGAAGTCGTCATCGCCACCAAAGAAGTCGTCGTTGCCGCCGCTCAAGTCTGTGCAGCTGAAGGAGAAGCCGTCTGCCGCGGCGCAGCCGCAGGAGCTCAGGAGGTACGAGCATGCACAGTTGGTGCGGCCGCCGCACTTGGCGTCGCAAGAGGACTGGTCCGTGACGCCTTGGGATGAGCAGGTCTGAGCTGATGCCACAGCCCTGCGCGCGCGCGTGTGTGTGCGTGTGTGTGTGTGCGTGTGTGTGTGTGTGTGAGGCGGAAGGGGAGGAGGAGTTAAAAGTCAATAGGCGTGAGTTCATGGGAGGGGAAAGGGGCGTGGCGTGTGTGAGCCAAGCGAGTGTTGGGAGGGAGCAATTAGAAAATCCAACCCCTTCTTCGCAGGCACACACAGACACTCAGACAGACACACACACACATACAATTGCATTCACACACACACACACACACTCATGCACAGAACCACCTCCTACCCATCTTGCTTCTCAACTCACACGCAGGCCAGGAGGGCGAGGGCGATTGCGAGCTTCATCGTCGTGTTGCGTGAGGTTGATCAAGTCGTGTGAGGTGAAAGTAATAAATGGAATTCTGGCGTGTACACTGTGTGTGGCAACCCCGGCTGTCACAGGCAGAGCGGAGTCTTGTTTTCCTCTGATTGTCGGAATGACATCACCGCCTCTGCTATGTGGCTGTTGTGCCTTTCCAGAAGAGGAAGTGGGCGGCGCCATCCTTGCCGTTCATCGCGACGTTGCGCAACCAACATGATGTCATCCGCACAACACTACGCTTTGTGGTGTTTGCAGACACCAAGCATTAATTCAGCCTCAACGGAACGACAGTGCGACAGGCAAAGATGATGTGTGGCAGTGGTGGTGGTGTTTGTGTTTCGACGGCAGCGACACTGGTGCTGCTTGTTGTTGGCGCCTTGATCGCCGTCAACACACTAGCGGCGGTATCTGCCGCTGCTGGCGGTGTTCCGCTCAAAAGGCCTCCCTCCTCCTCCTCCTCCTCCATCATCATTGTGGGGGATGTGCGCGTGCAGGCGCTCGCAGAGAACCTGGTGCGTGTGGAGCCGAGGGGTCCGCAAGGGTTCGAAGACCGCACCACATTCGCCGTGGTTGACAGAACGGCGTTTGACCCAGGCGTCCCCATCCACAAGGTCAACGCGTCCGGCAATGTCACCTTCCTTGCCACGTCCGCGTATCTGTTGCGGCTGGAGCAGCACCCTGTGCCGCCGCCCAGCCCGCCGCCGCCCATGTGCGAGAACCCGCGCCAAGGTTACGACATCACAAACGGCGCTCGCGTGCCCGAGTACCCCGGTGGCATCGACAACACCACCATGACCCAGTGCTGCAGCAAGTGCCAGGCACTCAAGGACTGCACCGCCTGGATCTGGGACACCGCAGATACGCACACGTGCTGGCTCATGGCCACCATCTCCGGGCCCATCCACCCGGCGCAGAACCGCATCTTTGGCGGGTACATACCACCACCACCGCAGGCCGGCGTCGCCGTCACCGTGTACACCGCAGACGGCGCGTCCGTGCTGTGGAGCAGCGCAGATGTTGGCAACGTGAGTGCCAACCTCGCCTGGCCCTCACCCATGAGCGCAGATGCCTTTGCTTTCCAAGACCGGCCGCGCTTCTACGTGCCACCATGGGGCCCCACGCCCCACAGCGGCAGCAACTTTGGTGTTGGCGGTCATCGACCTGATGGCCATGGACAAAGCCTGTCCAAGAACGACACCAACGGCTATGATTTCCGCAACAACGTTGTTGGAGATACATACATCTTCCTGATGCCTCGGCAGCAAGCACACAGCAGCACCAGCAGCACCAGCAGCAACACGCTACCAGCAGGTATGGATGCATGGCATGCCGGGCGCCGCACACTGCTGGCGCTGACGGGCCCAACGCCGCTGCTGCCAGACTTTGCGTTTGGCACGTGGTTCACGTACTGGCACGCGTACACGCAGTCGGAGGCGGAAGGGGAGGTGGCGCGCTGGATCGAAGACAAGCTGCCATTGGACGTGTGGGGCTTGGACATGAACTGGCGAAACACAACCGACAACCAGGACCACTACTACAACCACCCCAACACCACGCTCTTCCCAAACTTCACGGCGTGGTTCGACTTCCTGCACGCCCGCAACGTGCGCACCTATTTCAACGACCACCCTTACCCGCAGGGCCCGCAGACCAGCGCCAAGGAGGTGGCGTTCAGGTGGCACGGGCTTACAGAGTGGATGGCACGCGGCCTCACGTATTGGTGGTTTGACTCCAACTGGGGGTTCTCCATCCCGCCGCCACACGTCAACGCCACCACCACGGGCGCAGAGTGGCAGGGCTTGGACAACCGTGCGTGGGGTGCGCACGTGTACTACTCCATAGTCAAGACGTACAACGCCAAGCACAGGCCGGCGTCGTTCCCGCGGCCCATCACGCTCAACAAGTTTGCAGGCGGCGACCAGCGGCCAGGCATGACGCAACACGAGCACGTGGCGCACCACCGCTACCCCGTGTGGTGGACGGGCGACGGCGTTTGCCTGCAGGCAAGCATCGAGAGCATGGTGGACACGGGCGTGTATGATCTCAAGCCGTACGTGCACTCGGACTGCGGCGGCGACTACAGGGGGTCAGCAGGTGACCTCATGCGCTGGATTGCACACTGCTCGCTCGGCACCGTGCTGCGGTTGCACGGGGCAGAGCACCAGCCGTGGTCGTACGACAACCACACCGAAGACACCATCCGCAACTACCTCGACCTGCGCTACCGGCTCATCCCCACGTTCATCTCCGCGGGCGTGACGGCGACGGCCACAGGGTTCCCGCTGGTGGTGCGCGGCGATGTCTTCTGGCCCGAGCACGCACCGGACGCGGCGTCCAACCACCAGTACATCCATCTCAACGAAACGCTCGTTGCGCCCATCTTCGACACGTCAGCTAACATGACGCAACGCGCGGTGTGGGTGCCGCCGGGGGCGTGGCAGGATGCGTGGACGGGCAAGGTGGTGACTGGCCCAGCGTGGATGAACGTCACCATGCCATATGAGCAGCTGCCAATGTGGCACCGCAAAGGCGGCATGTTGGTGACGGCCACCCACCCGGGCACACGCGCAGCGCTGCAGGATTGGTCATCGCTCACACTCGAGGCATTCCCAATGTTTGGCGATGGTGGTGTTGATTGTGGTGGCAATGGTGTTGAGAAGGTGGTGTATGCGCAAGAGAGGTACAGCAGCAACCGTGATGATGGTGGTGGTGGTGGTGGTGGTGGTGGTGGCGATGCCTGCGTGCGTGTGCGCATGACAACGAGTGCAATGAACGCAACACATCGCGATGACGGTGACAACTCGTGGCGCGTGCGTGTGTTCATTGCACCCGACCACAGATGCGGTGGTGCTGTCACGAGCGAGTGGGTGGTTCGTCTGCATCTTGATGCTGGTATGACGGCGACAAGTGCTGTCATCAGCCGTAATGGGGGTGATGTAGGTGACGATGGTGATGATGTCAACGGTGCAACCCTGCCAATCTCTCTTCTCTTGCCAGGTGAGATGTGTGTGTGCGTCCTTCTCTGGTAGCTGTTGTTTTCGCTTTTTTCGTGTGAGAGATGTGTGTGTGTGTGTGTGCGTCCTTCTCTGGTAGCTGTTGTTTTCGCTTGTTTTCGTGTGAGAGATGTGTGTGTGTGTGTGTGTGTGCGTCCTTCTCTGGTAGCTGTTGTTTTCGCTTGTTGTTGTCGTTCTTCTCTGCCACTCTTCATCGCACTGCACCTCCCATCACATCACACCACCTCACCTCGTCCCTCCAACCACGTACACACCATTACCCAAGGCAAACCAGGCGACGATGCTAGCCGTCATCACTTTCCTCTGCGTGGCCGCGGCTCTGCGCCCGCACCACACGCCGGCCCCATTGCTGAAGTGGTGGTGGTGACCACCGCCACTGCCACCACGACTCTTGATGTAGTCGTCACACGCACGTGATGTGCTCGGGTGTGCCTTTCCCCTCCTGTGTGTTGGACTTTCTTCCTTTCGTCCTTTCTTCCTGCCTGCGTTACCCCACTCGCTGTGTTCGTGTGTGTGTGTGTGTGTGTGTGTGTGTGTGTGTGTGTGTGTGTGCGTGGCTGTGGCTGTGTGTGTGTGCGTGTGTGTGTGAGCGTGTGTGTGTGTGTCCGGTTTTCTTGCTGCTTGCGAGTTTGATTGCGTCATGAAAAACCTTCGCCGTTGCCGCACACAACCAGTGAATGCATCGATTGCTTCTTCGTGGTGTGATGGTGATGGTGGTGATGGTGATGGTGGATGGGTAATGGGATGGTGTGAGGACCAGCTGCGGTCGTGTGGTGGGCTTGGGCTGCTGCCGGTGCTGCTTGCTTCGTATCTGTTCAAGGCACGTGTGCCTGTGAGCTTGCTCGCCCGCCCATACGCAGGCAGGCGTCTTTGGTTTGCTTCTTTGCCCATTCATCCACAACCCACGTGCTGTTCAGGTGCATCAAGTGAAGCCACAAGGAACGAATTCACAACACCAACTATGGACAGCGTGTTCACCAACGTGGGGCTCGAAGGCCACCACACAGCTCTTGGTCAGTCATGCAAGTTCATGCTGGGCACATTGTGTGTGTGTGTGTGTGTGTGTGTGTGTGTGTGTGTGTGCGTGTGTGTGCTCGCAGATCTAGATGTGTGTTTGCGTGTTCATATGAAGGCAAGACTGATCCCCTCCTAGTTGGCCACTTCGACACATGTACTCTCACGCCTTGGCTTTGTGCTTCTGTTATGATTGCGCCAGAGGGCCGCCGGCACAAGGTGACCATCGTCGGCGTTGGCGGCGTCGGCATGGCCTGCGCATACTCCCTCCTCAACAAAGTAAGCAAAGATGCGTGATGTTCTTTGTGCGTGCGTGCGTGTGTGTGTGTATGTGTGTGTGTATGTGTGTGCGTGCGTGTGCGTGTGCGTGCCTGTCTCTCTGTCTTTCTAGCTCTCTATCCCTCTGCTCGCCCCTATGTCTCTCTGTTCGTCCCAATGCCTCTCTGTTTGTCTCTCTGTCTCTCTATTTGCCTCTCGGTCTCTCTGCTCGTCTCTCTGTCGATGTGTCAACCCTCGTGCGACATTCGCTTGAACAGCGTCACCCCGCCTTCACCTCACTCCAACCCACCGCGTCACCCGTGCGTATCCGAAGGGCATCGTGGGAGAGCTCGTCCTGGCTGATGTGCAACAGGAGCGCCTTCAAGGCGAGGTAACCCGTGCATGACATCAACACAAGATGCACTGCCATCAACCAAAGCTTTGCGCCGTGTGTGTGTGTGTGTGCGTGTGTGCTTGCGTGCATGTGTGTGTGTGTGTGTGCGTGCATGTGTGTGTGTGTGCTTGCGTGCGTGTGTGTGCTTGCGTGCATGTGTGTGTGTGTGTGTGTGTGTGTAGTTGCGGATGCCTCTGTGGTCCATGGTGGCTACTGTAGTACGACACGACATCACTGCACGCAACCACGGACTCGACCCATCTCGTCACACTCCCTCAACTCCCTCTACCCCGTCTGCCTTGCCAAATGCACAACACACACACACACACACACACACACACACACACACACACACACACACACACACACACACACACACACACACACACACTCACTCACTCACGTGTTGACAGGTGCTTGATCTGCAACACGCGGGCCTGTTCCTTCCCTGTCGCGTGCGCGCGTCTGGTCTCGACTACGAGGAGACCAGAAACTCCGACATCTGCATCATCACTGCCGGCGCCCGCCAAAACGTGCGCATATGTGTGTGACTGTGTGTGTGTGTGTGTGTGTGTGTGTGTGTGTGACTGTGTGTGTGTGTGTGCGTGTGACTGGACCTGACAATCTAAGATGCTTTGGCCACATCCACGGATTGATGCTGAGTGCCCCTTGTTGCACGTGTGCGATGTAGTATGTTGTTTGTGGTGATGTTGTTTGAGCCATGTGCCCACCACCCTCACGTGCAAAACACACAAACACACACACACACATGCAACGCGTTGTAACTCCCCTCCTACCCCACCTCAGCGCACTTTGTTTGGGTGCGTGCCTTCTAAAAGTGGCATGTTTTGCTGCGGCTGTTGCTGCTTGCTTGCGTTGTAACCTTCACGTTGCGTTGCATATTGTCTCGTCTGCACGCAGACACACACGTTCACGCACCCGCGTTCGCTCGTGCGACCCGTTCCCAAATACAACGACAAATGTTTACACGAGATGCGTGCAGGCACATGATGATGAAGATGATGATGCAAGTGTGTGTTGTTTATTCAGTGAGGGAAGCAAGAGATCCATAACGCACGCAATGTCACGACATCATGCAACAAACGCGTCTGTTCAGAGTGTTACATTCAATCACCAAGCCAAGGAAACACATACGCATACAAGTTGCACGAAGGCAGTGTACGCATAAATGAAATGTGCACGCGCGCACAACCAAAGAGGATTAAGGAAGCCAGCCACACAAAGCGTGCACACAGCTGCGTTGGGTGTGAGTTCGATTAAAAAGAAGCAACAATAGATGGTCATTGTTCCATGACCCGAAAGGGCCAAACCACAAGAGACAGACAACACACACACACACACACACAACACGAGACAACATCTACCCCACCACCAGCACCAACGCATGCCTGCATGTTGCCACTGGCCGGTTCAAGTGTTGAGAAATAACACGAAACGAAGTCAAACATGGCTGGATATGAACAGAAATGCTTGTTGCAGGGCTTGCAATGCAGTCTTTGTACATCACTCAAGCACGGCCGCACGCACGCACAACAACGTGGTGGTGCTAACCACTACACACCACTGCCGAGAGTGCGCTGGGCCTGCACACCGAATTGGTTCAGGTTTGATGCGATAAATAGTAACGGCAAGCGCGTGCCACTGCACTCAATCTCTTTTCTCGTGAGCGCGATCAGTCATTGTGGCGTTGCCTGCCGACATCAATGCCGTACTCATCATGGTCGTGGTCGTGGTTATGGTCGCTATCATCATCGCGGTGGTAGCTGGCATGCCTGAAACTTGAATTCTCAAGTTCACCAGATCCTGAGCCAGAGGTTGTTGTTGTTGTCTCAGTTGTTGTTGTTGTCTCAGTTGTTGTTGTTGTCTCAGTTGTTGTTGTTGTCTCAGTTGTTGTTGTTGTTGTTGTCTCAGTTGTTGTTGTTGTTGTTGTTGTTGTTGTTGTCTCAGTTGTTGTTGTTGTTGTTGTTGTCTCAGTTGTTGTTGTTGTTGTTGTTGTTGTTGTTGTTGTTGTTGTTGTTGTTGTTGTTGTTGTTGTTGTTGTTGTTGTTGTTGTTGTTGTTGTTGTGCTGCTAATCGTACTAGACATGGCACTGGCCATGGTGGTGGTGCTGGTTGAGCTCGTGGTGCTCGTGGTTGAAGTAGTGGTTGTGGTTGTAGTTGTTGTCTCAGTTGTTGTTGTTGCTGATGGTGTTGCTGTTGTTGCTGATGGTGTTGCTGTTGTTGTGGCGGCGGTGGTGGTGGTGGTGGTGGACAGTCGGGCTGTGGACAAAGATGTGAATGTAGATGCCGCCTGAGTGTCAAGTGTCACCTCAACACCACCACTGCCGGACCAAATGGTAGCAACGGTGGTCATCGTGGTTGTCGTTGTGGTGGTGGCCGCTGTGGTCGCCGTGGCCGTTGTAGTGCTGCCTTCTGTCGTCGACGCCGTCGATGCAAGCAGCGTCGGAGAGAAGGTAGAGGTGGAAGGAGAGCCCGTGCTCGTCGTGACTGAAGTTGGCATGGGAATCGTACCAGTCCCGGACCCAGTGGAGGGGGGCGCACTTGTTGTCTCAGTTGTTGTTGTCTCAGTTGTTGTTCTCGCAGTTGTATCAGTTGTTGTTGTCTCAGTTGTCTCAGTTGTCGTTGTTGTTGTCTCTGTTGTTGTTGTTGTAGTTGATGTCTCCATTGTTGTTGTTGTTGATG